GAGGGCAGACTAGTGGCCTGCACCTCTCTTCAAGGCTCACTTGATGCTGCGGACGCGGCAGCGCACACATTGGCATCTGGCATTGCTATGCGACAAAATGCCTGGCTCCAGTCCTCGGGTCTCCCACGTGAAGTACAAAAAACGATCCATGACTTTCCGTTTGATAGCCAAGGCCTGTTCGCCAATTCGAGACTGCATACCCTGAAAGATTCGCGCAACACCATTAAATCTTTAGGCATGCATACCCCGGCAACTCAGAGAAAGCCGTTTAAGCCACAGCCCATCCAACAGCATTCCTTCCCTGCTAGACCCAGGCAGGATTTCACCAGTAGGAGGAGCAGATACTCTCGGCACAGGCCATCACGCCCTCCCCCTGGTCATGGCCAGGAACAGTCCAAGCCCCCTCCAGGCCCTAAGCTCACCTTTTGAAGATGCGGATGAGAACGGATTACCAGTCCACAACCCGGTCAGCTCTCCTCCCTTTCTGAACCGTCTATCCTGCTTTTATCGTGCATGGTCCCTTATTACATTGGACGGATGGGTCCTCCGTGTGGTAGAGGCGGGATATTCTATCCACTTCTGTTCCACCCTTCTCAAGAGCAACTCCTTATTCAGGAGACAGTCCCTCCTCGCTCTAGGAGCCGTGGAGGAGGTGCCTCAGGAGCTCGGAGGCAAGGGTTTCTACTCACATTACTTCCTCGTCCCCAAGGCAAAAGGAGGCCCACGGCCCATTCTGGACCTCAGGGAGTTCAACAAATATATCGTCAATCATTAAACACTGGAATAAATTGCCTAGGGAGGTTGTGGAATCTCCATCTCTGGAGATATTTAAGAGTAGGTTAGATAAATGTCTATCAGGGATGGTCTAGACAGTATTTGGTCCTGCCATGCGGGCAGGGGACTGGACTCGATGACCCCTCGAGGTCCCTTCCAGTCCTAGAATCTATGAATCTAAAGTTCTGGATGGTCTCCCTGAGCACAATCATTCCTTCCCTGGATCCAGGAGACTGGTACGCTGCCCTCGATATGAAGGACGGTTACTGTCACATTTCAATCACCCCGTCTCACAGACGCTTTCTTCGGTTCGTGGTGAACAAGACGCAGTATCAGTTCACAGCTCTCCTATTCGGCCTGTGCACAACCCCCCCGCGTCTTTACCAAATGCATGGCGGTTGTGGCAGGTTTTCTTCGTCGCCATCACATACATGTCTACCTGTACTTGGACGACTGGCTTATACAAGGCCAATCTCGCCAGCAGGTAGATTCTCAGGTGCGAATGGTCAGAGACACGTTCGACCACTTGGGAATCATTTTGAACGTCAACAAGTCTGTTCTCACCCCAACCTGAACAATAGAGTTTATTGGGGCAGTCCTGGATGCAAATCAAGCAAGAGCATTCCTCCCAGAGGCCCAACATCTAGCCGTTGCACACATAATTGCCGGTCTGTGCCGTTTTCCCACTACCACAGCGATGCAGTATCTCAAGTTGCTGGGTCACATGGTGTCCTGCACTTACATGGTACAACATGCCAGGTTGAGGCTCAGGCCCCTACAGGCGTGGTTGGCGTCTGTGTATCATCTGGGCCGCGACAGTCTAGACATGGTGCTCACCGTTCCAAGGCATACCCTCGATTCCCTGCGTTGGTGGCTGGACCCTCACATGGTGGGCGCCGGAGTCCCGTTCCACCCTCCTCAGCCCACTCTGACCCTGGTAATGGATGTGTCCGTGTTTGGGCTGGGGAGCACACCTTGGGAGCCTGACAACTCAGGGTTTATGGCAAGTAGAAGAACTGACCCTGCATATCAATATCAAAGAACTCAGGGCTATCCGTCTCGCATGCCAAACATTCCTGCCCCACCTATAAAACAGTGTGTAGCAGTGCTGACAGACAACACAATGGCCATGTTTTACTTGAACAAACAAGGCGGAGCCCGGTCGTCTCCTCTTTGTCAGGAAGCCCTTTTACTGTGGAAATTCTGTTTAGCCCACTCCATCCTTCTCCAAACTTCATACCTGCCGGGTGTTCAGAACGTACTGGCAGACAGCTTGAGCAGATGAATGGTCGATTCATCCGGATATTATTCACTCAGTTTTCCGCAGCTGGGGGTTTCCCCAAATCAATCTGTTCGCTTCACGGACCAACAGGAAATGCCCAACCTTCTGCTCCTTCCGAGGTCACAGCCCGTGCTCGATTGCAGATGCTTTCCTGATTCCATGGTCCGGCCAATTACTTTACACCTTCTCGCCATTTCACCTAGTCCAGAAGGTGCTCCTCAAGGTCTGCAGGGACAAAGCGGACGTCATACTGGTGGCCCCAGCTTGGCCTCGCCAGTGCTGGTACCCCACTCTCTTGGACCTCTCGATCCAGGCCCTGCTGCATCTACCTCTCACCCCCAACCTCATCTCGCAGAACCACGGTTGTCTCCTCCATCCGGACCGTAAATCTCTCCATCTCATGGTTTGGAGGCTCTGTGGTTGAACCAGGCTAAGCATGCCTGTTCAGACTTGGTGAGACAGGTGCTCCTGGAAAGCCGCAAACCTTCTACCAGGATTATATACAAAACGAAATGGAAAAGCTTCTCCATTTGGTGCGCTCAATGGCAGGTGCTCCCCCTCCAAGCTTCAATTCCGTGCATCCTGGACTACCTAATACACTTGAAGGGCCAGAATCTAGCATTCAGATCGCTTAAGGTCCACCTTGTGGCCATCTCGGCATTCCACCCAGGCGCTGACGGGCGTTCCGTGTTTGAACACCCCATCGTGGGACATTTCCTGAAAGGCCTGGAAAAAGTCCAACCCCCCCAATGAAGCTCCCTGAACTGGCCTAGGACCTTAACCTAGTCCTTTCCTGTCTTATGGGTCCTCCTTTCGAGCTGCTAGCTTCCTGCTCACTCCTCTATCTTTCCTGGAAGGTCGCCTTCCTAGTGGCCATTACCTCAGCACGATGTGTTTCTGAGCTACGGGCTCTCAC